GGACTGACATGGATATGTAACAGCAAATGGAGTTATTGTAGATCATCGTAATTTCATAAGTACCGTCGATAAGGAAATGTCAATTGCCAGGCCCAGTGAAATTCCCAATGAACACAACCAAGATCGCACAGTAGGCTGCAGACGCCGCGAAAAGTTCATGCCTCGCCGCCTTGGTTAGCAGACTCATTGCAGCACTGAACAGTAATGTGAATACTATGAGCACACCAACTGCGTTGAATGTATCTCGCTTGTTAATGTCCACTTGACTCTGGGCGGAAGTCTTGCCTGATGGGTCGGTCTCAATATGGGCGGCAGTGTTCGTCAACTGGTACATGGTGATGACTGGTACCACGAGGAGACAGAATATGATGAAGGTGATGAGGATGTTGACCAGTTTGTCGACGCGAGAGCTGCTGTAGTAGGAGATGTCGGAATCACTGGTCTTCTTTTGCGCTTCTGGGGTTCGGAAGTATTTCTGCCGACTGTGTAAGTGGTTTGGCTCTTCATTTTGGAAGATAGAGTTGACGTACCTGTAGTGGGGGTTTCTCTGTGTTGAAGACCTTCTTAAGAAAGCGGTCTGTTTGCCCTATCATCGTCTCTACGCCACCATCGAAGCTCGCCCACTCACGACCGTTGTGAATGGTGACTATGTCTTCCTTTGTTCGGATGGAGTCCAGTACGTCATCCATTAGCGGCTTCTTCTTGAAGCAATAGCGTCGCACACTGCGATAGTTGCGATCTGATGGCTTTTGGAAAGACTGGAGTTCTCTTGCCTTTATGAGCACCTCATCTATGCCTCAATTAGCCATGTGCTCTCCGCTAGGATGCTTGCGGTTATCGCTAAGGTATACATACCGTATTCGATCAGTTTAGCCTTGATCTCGCGAAGTATGACTCGACGGCTGCGATCAGCTCCTTCACCGATAGGCTGCTGGATGTCGTAGTCTCTTGATTTCAGACGAGTCGGATTCTCAAACGCATCTTCGCAGTCGATCTCATCGAGTTCTCTTTCTAAACAGGTGATCTCATCCTGCAAATCAAGCAGCACACGTGAGTGCAGGTAGCTGAAACTACGATATAATGCAAAATTTGTGTCGCTAGCTTGGAATGCTGCGAGCCTTGGGAAGCCATTAGGTGTATCTTCCACTACGATTGATCAGTGACAAGCGATATGAAGGATCCTGAATATACTCACGTGTCCGAGTGTTGGTCTCAGTCACGAAGAGAGGTTCTGGCTCGGAACGGAATGAACCTGTCATGCGATGCATCAATCCAGGCCGCTTGTTGTCATTCGCTGAAGCAATGTCAGTGTTGCTCATATGGATACCAATCATGGCCCTAGATTGTAATCACGTCATGCATACGAGCTGGCTGACCGGTTTGAGCCATTGCGCTTCAGCTGATGCCGAACATCGACGATGTTTGGCGCTGGGGGCCAAAATAGTGGTATGGAGTGACCTACAAGGCTGTGCACTTTCAATGTCAACGTCGACATCATTTGAGGTCGTTGGCATTGGGGCCAACACAGTAGGGTGGCAGTCGCTATTCTCGTCCGCTACTTCGATGTAGGCGTCACCTCTTAGGGTTGTGTCGGTACCCGTTGGAGATACTGGCGATTGAGGTGTCTTCTCATCGGTAAATGTATCCCCGGTCATGGTGCGAAGAGGGGTCATGGCGAGAAGAGACAAGCGAGGCTTGCGTGACAGCGACAAACGAGCGGACGAAGAGAAGACGAGCAAGGTATTTTGCACAATCAAATATCACTCAAGCGAACATTAAGAGTGAGTTGTGGCTAATAGATTGTGGCAACAGAAGGGTGTAAGTAGTATTGAGCAACGGGAAGCAGAAAGATGATGGTCGCATGTGGAAGACTCAGCCCCAACGCCTCACTCACAATTGGCTGCGCGCGTCACAAATTCAGCTGCCTGGTCACTTTCCGGTGAGCTCAGCCTCAGGCAATGTAGCACTGTTCAGGCGCCGGCCTTGAGGTCCCTTTCGCGTGTCCAGCTGCCATCCACCTTTTGCGTGTAGTAGTCTTCAAGCTGATACTCGATCCAGCCATGAGGGCTGCTCCTGCGCGCGTAGATCTTGTAGGCGGACTTGGATTGAGCACCACCGGGCGCTGATGCCTTCTTGCGCACTCTGTCGCCCTTGCTGAAGCGCGCATCCGCCTGAGTTTTTGTTAGAAAAGTGTGTTGCGCTGAGAAAAGAACGGACATACTAGATCCGCGGTTGTGATTTGGCCAACCCCAGACTTGGTCATAGGGGTCGTGCTACCAGGTGTAGAGTCCAAATTTTGATCCTATGCCTGCGTATCAGCTCTGCGTTGCTGCAATGACGGGGCGCGACTCACCTCCACAGCCAGTACAGGCTGATGTTCGAGCATATCGGTTGCCATGATTACTGGAAGTCTGTAAAGCGAGGCAAAATAGCCTTGTAGGTGATGCCCTTGGGAAGGAGCAGGCTGTCTTCTGTTATAGAGAGGGCTATTGCTGGCCTCCGTGACCATGTACCTGCTGCAGCCCCAGGCAACACAGGTTCGTGACCGGTATTGATGATAGTCGGGACCCTTTGGGTTTGCACAGCCGCAGCTTGGAATGTTTGCTTAGGTGCATGCAGCGATGGGGCACCCATGCGCCATGGCCCCCTCCACAGGTGTCCTACCGCTGAGCAAGCCGTCATCGTGAACGGCCATTTACCGAAAGAGGCTATGGCACGGGACGGAACGCCCAGTTCTTAGTAAGACGAGCGTTGGGGATGCATGGTGGAGGCACTGCCTTTGGCCCCCAATGGTGGTGGTGTGATTGCGCGGTGCGCTAATTGGCCAAGGCCAGCTGCATCTGCTATCTCCGCACTCTTCAAGCCGTGGTGCATGCACCCAATATGGGGGCTGAAGGTTACTCCAAGGCTACGAACTCCACCCTTCAAAATGGCGGGCACCTGCGAACTCTCTCAGCCTCGCACCTTGGAGGCTTTTCCACCCGATGGCTCCCCTACCAGACTCCACGATGCGCGTCGCGAACGCAGCAACGACGACCGAGATAGCCCCTCCTCGCAACGCAAACTCCGTCCAAGACAAAGTCATCAATGCCGACATTCGCATACGCTCGATTGAAGACGAGCTTCAGCGCACCGGACAGTCTTCCCAAGCTCAGGAGACTCTTGTGGAGAGCACGCCTAACAAGGACAATGGCGAACCGAGCGCGGAGACGCAAAAGAATTGGTGGGCAGAGGCCATCGCAGAAAACATGGATCTGGCAGACGGCTACACCAAAGTTGCAGTGCTGTTGATCAAGTGGGAAGACGGTCTAGACGAGCTCATGACTGGTGGCGAGGTATGTCAGGGAGAAACGCGTTGCGTGCAGATTATAACTAACAAATTTCAAGGCCAAAGAACTCGAAACCCTCTTTCGCGATCGCTTTTACTATCAAACCAAGACGGTCGAATTGAACGTACGGGAGAAGCCACAGCATCAGCTCAACAAACATATCAGCCAATTCATCTGCGAGCATGACGGAGCGCAAAGTCTGCTCATTGTCTACTATACTGGGCACGGCGTTTACCAAGAATCCACCAAAACACTGGAGCTCACAGGAACTCCAAACCCCGAGGAATCAAAAGGCTTGATTAATACAGCCCATGCGAGTTGGAACATGGCAGAGGAGCAGCTCCGTCAGCCAATCGTCGAGGCCGACGTACTGACCATATTGGACACTTGCTACTCTAGCAATCTTGTCAAATCCAGCCGGCAACAAGAGAAGAAGTTCGAGCTGCTGAGCGCCTGTTATTTCGACGAAACGACTGCCGCTCCTGGCCCCAATTCATACACTCGTGCTTTCATCGACGCTGCCAAATACTTCCTCGACAACGATCCCAAACGTCCAATATCTACTTTCAGCCTGACACAGCGCATCAACGAAGACAAGAGGCGCATAGATACGCCCTCACACCTCTGGGGTCGTAGCCGGAACCCTCAGCCAAATCAAGAGCACATCTTTTTGACGCCCCTTACTCCCTCCAAAGCCGATGCCCTACACGAATACCGTCCACGAGCACAGAGCTACTTGACCTTACGATTCGGTCTGCGCCACACCTCGCTGAATCAAGCACAAATCGATTACATGGCTAAGCTTCTTACAAAGGCATTGAACAACAAGGAATCAATTGGCCTGAGGAGAATCGACTGCATAGACATGAAGCCTGCACCGCCACTATCGCACTTCGAGCGCGTTACATCCGTACTGCGCGTCAAAGCGAAGTGGAAGCTGCTAGTTGCTAAGAACAAGGAGAGAAAGCAGGCACAGAACGGAGGCGATGCGAACGGGTCGGTGAAGCGTGCATGCGAGGATGCAAACGAACTACCACATGCTAAAAGGCAGTACCTGGGCCCAATACCCCCGCCGTCGCCGGCAGTATCGGACGCATAGGGTGTAGTGTCCCTCATCACTCTTCGTTTCCATCATTTCTACTCTCTTTTCAGTTCTGTTTAGATCTCGGATACCCCACTCGTGCTTGTCGTAAAGATTACGCTCTATTACTACATATCGGTCATTACATAGCTAATGTATTCGCAACTATGATTGCACTTCATTCGTTGCGGCCAAGCATTTCCATCGGCTTCTACTCGGAGGTTGCCCAAACAGGTGGCGCCACTTCTTGGTCTCACCACCATCATCACGTTAAGCTTCGACAATACAGCAGGATAACGCTAGACACGTAGCACAGTACAGAGAACCATATCGAAGCTTCTCATCTCCCCTGGCCGCAGCATGATACCCTGATCAACACTTTGCGCTGATCATTTGCAGTGTGGTATAAAGTCGAAGCTTTCCTACGAGGATACGCTCACATTCACATTCACTCAACATCAACGTCCAAACCACAACTTCAGCCTACAATTCGACGTCGCACTACAAGCTTCATCGATATTAGCCATCGACCAATCTAGCCATCAACATACTACCATCCAATGGCTGCACCCAGCACAACCGCCGCCACCATGCTGACACCGGACCGACACAACCTCACCATCGGTCACTGTCGCGCGCAACGACAGGCACTCTATTCCCACACCGATCTTGGCACACCCACGCTGCTAAAGAAGCACCCGAAACCCATCATCTTTACCCCACGGGCAAGTGAGGATGAGTGGACGGAAAGTCAAGAAGAACTTGAGCGCTGGGGTATGGGAGCCACCAAGACGACCAAGCCAGGGTCTAGTCAAGTCACAGCACCAAGCCGCTCGCAAGGACGGGGTTTGGAGTACGAGGAAGTAATGGGATTCTGTTAGTGAAAAGGAGGAAGAAGAAGAATGAATAAATGAAGAATGTTGTTGAGATTTCATCATGGCAATCGATTGTTTCTACTATCTCTCTATATCGGCCTCTCTCTTACTACTCTTGGTAACTAGTGCTTCGCTTCTGCTTCGCGCACTGCATCTGTTACACTTCCCTCCAGCGCGCATACCCCTAGCGCGCTCACTTTTTGACATCGCAATCTATTATCTTAACTATCTCGCGATGTTGGCCTTTCTTCTACTACTCTTACCAACTAGCATGTCGCTCCTGCTTCGCGCACTGCAATGGCTACAACCAACTCCAGCGCGCTTGCCTCTAGCGCGCTCGCTCTTCCCCAGAAAGACGTCTTACACCCGCCGCCTAGCTACGCCAAGCTCGCTCCTGCTATGCTTGCTAGGCGGCGAAGCCACCTCTCGTCAACACTATTCGTCCCTCCTTGCCTCTGTCGAACGCCCTCGCGCCGCTACATTACCCTGTAGTACCCCCTCACTTGCAGCATCGCCTCGGTGTGGGTACATACTATCAACCCTCAGGCTGCCAAAGGTCCACGCGCCGCCACATCCCCCTTAGGAGTGTCTACTATGGCCAAAAGAAAGATCCAACATGACCCATACAAGCAAAAGAGTATGGACGGCTACATCTCGCGCACCGCCCCGCCCCGTCTTACTAAGACTACACCAAAGAGCAAAGAAGTCGCCCCCGCCCAACCACCCAAGCCCATCCATACTCAGCGGAAACGGCGACGAGAAGACGACGACGACACGGATGCGGCGCGGCCCCCCGCACAGGACATCAGGCTTACGAGAAGTGCCAAAAAGCGACTAGATGCAGGGTCAACCAGTCGACACGCAGATGAAGATGATGCACACAGCCTGCACGAGTCCTACATAGCAGGAGCAACAGACGATGATACAGGCAGTGTTTTTGAGTCAGAGAACTACAGCGATCCCGAGGGCGACGAAGAGGACATGTTTCTGAGTTCAGACGACAACGAGGACGAGGCCAGCCAATCTGAGGACGAGGCCGACCAGTCTGACGAGGCCAACCAGTTCGAAGACGAGGCCAACCAGTCCGACGACGATGCCGACATCCACCATGCGGACGATGATGACATGAAGGAGACACAGTATTCCCTCGAGATACCGCTACGCGACAAAGACCTCTTTAATGTAGATGTTACCGCCGCCGAGGTTACATCCATGGTGGAAAAGGTTCTACCTGCGCTGTCTTCCAAGAAAATCCAACGGTTTTACAAGACAGTAGCAGAGCACCTTGACAAATCCCCTCCATTGAGCATAGCAGTGCGATCTTGACACCCCACTACCTGGTCGTTAGTCAACCCTGACTTTGATTTACTTTGGAAGCACTCAGTCGACGGCGAGCGCGCTCTAGATCTCGGCGACCCAAGTCTATTACCAAAGTGGCTCAATATGTCGGAACACGGTCTCGTAAAGCCAATCGGCTCGTTCACCGACACCCTACTGCTAATCTCCAGCTGCCCAACAGCATCGGAGGAAGGTAGTTTCCATAACCACTATGGTACTGTGGACGACATAAGCAACGTCTGTATGTGGATGCTATACGCTAAATTTGGGTACCACGTGGCGGACCTACGATCACACGCTGTAATGCACATAGACATTATGGCTCGACGACTCGACCGGAATCTGATACCAGGATCTGATGGAGACAAGCTCTTTCGAATTACACCATTAAACCACTCTGGCACAGTGTCGTATGCTGGTATTGATGAAGTACAATGAATTATTCAAATTGTTTAGGTAGAGCGGGATATGTGTAGCTACTTTCCAACTAGATTAGATCCAAGGATGTTCACAACAAGTAGGGCTAGTGCGTGATCATCTAGACGATCGGATAAATTTCAGATTTGAAATTCTGTAGTCCCCGCCTCATGCCACCAAATAAGAGGATTCTGGGGAAGATAGCTAACCTCTAATGCGCTGGATAAAGGTTCTGTTGCGACTGCCTTGTGCCAATTAACAAGAAGATGCCAGGGAAGATGGCTAACCTCTCATGCGCTGGCTAAGAGTTCTGTCGCAACTGCCTCATGCCATTTACTAAGAAAACGCGGTAAGGATGGTTGGCTCTAATGCGCTAGATAGAGGTCCTTTCGTGACTGCCTCATGACACCCACCGAGAAGACGCGGGGAAGATGGTTAGCCATCGATAATGCGCTGGGTGTGGGCCCTCTCGCGACTGCCTCATGTCACTCGCTTTTGAACAGCGAGCACACAGTACTCGAGGTTTCTTATATTCAAACCTCTCTTGCTTCAGGCGTTTTCCATCTGTCATTCACGTCCACCAGTGAACGCATTGCATCCTCAAGACCTTAACCGCCTTGCCGCCAACGCGCTCCTATAACAAGAACTTCCCACCCGCCATGCCGCCACCGCGCTCATCCAGCAAAGAGAACTCTCCACCTGCAAAGAGACCTAAGAAGACAGCACTGTCGGCAACAGCTTCAAGAGCACGCAACGCGCCTTTGACAGCACTGTCAGCATCACCGTCACAACTACCTGAACCGCCACCAGAACACCGGACAGTGCGGACTCGACCATCAACAACGTTAACAGGCTCAACGAAAGCAAAACCACCCCATGAGTTTACAGTATTCACCGACAACACCAGAGCGACAGAGCAGATACTAGACGACGCGAATCCCACCACTAGCATCATTGACGAATGCACAGTACCTGATATTGTCGACCGATGCTCGCTAACCGATCACGACTTGTTCGGTGAGCTAACCGCTGACGACATCCGCATTCTAGTAGAACGATTGCTGCCAGACCTTCAAGAAGAGGGTAAGCTCTACTCTACGTACAGCACGTAAGGTGCATGTGTACTAACTTTGCCAGGGATTCAAGAGTTTCTTGCTACAGTCTATGATCACGCCTGCAAATCCCCGCCTTTCCTTATACCCCGCCGAGAGCGAGACCCGTCGACCTGGCCACTTACGTATCCCGACATGGACTATGCATGGGGCCAGGCAGTGGAAGGCGAACATGCTATTGAGCTCCCTGAGACAATGGACAATTGGATTGACATGAGTGAGGGCAATCTGGGTAAGTTTTCAACGTGAAGTTGGATAGCCTCCAAGCTAATTACGCTCTCGCAGTTAAACCGACTGGAAGCCTCCTCGATACTCTTCTCATTGTTAGTTCATACCCTACTGCCAAGGAGGACAGCACCGTACATCGATCGTATGGTACCACCCTAGACATTTCGAACGAGTCGATGTTCATGATCTACACCAAGCTTGGACATCACGTATCCTCGATCAGGGACCACGGCGCCCTCCACTTGGACGTATTCCCCAGGCGAGTGAACCGAAACCTTGCGCTCGGTCTAGGGAATATCGTCGACCAGGTCCCGACCAATCTAGGCATGTATTGGAAACTCGTGGTCCGTCAGCTCATTGAGTTGTCGCATTCCAAACTGGCTCTCCTCGTCGGGTCCGCAGGCGTTGCCACGTACGTCGACTATCTCAAACAAAACAACATCCGCCATCAAATATTTGGTCATCGAACAAAAGCGTGCAACGCTACCGGAAAGAGATTCATCACGGAGTAGAACAGGTTGCAGATGGAGAGAGAAGCGCAAAAGAAGAGTGAAGGTGAAACGAAGAGATAAGGGTAAGTTCTCTATGTGCGAGGCATGCGTGAGGCATACACTGACTTCTTAGTGTTAGGATTGTAGACCGAGAAGGTTAAGTCCCTTGGAAAAAGCCATGGTGGTCAAGATTCGGGAACACACGGAGAGTGGTGTGGAGTGAAGTGGAAAGATTTGACAAAGAGGAGAAGCTTGAAATCAATCGAAGGATACATAAATTAAATACAAGACGTGTGCGCTGTGGGAATTACATCAAAGTTGCAGTGTGAAGATGGTGATGTCTTCGTATCGGACTCGGCACGATGCGTGGGCGGGAGATCCGCTAGCGGCGCACTGCTGATTGGTTTCATGCAGGTCCGCTTCAACCCCAGAAATAACTCCCCAAGCCGCGCATCGTGAGCGCCGCTGCCACCAGAGTGCTGCGCCCGTGCTGCTGGCGAGCGCTTCCGATAATCTTTTAATCCTGCAGTATGTAGAGCGCAAGCACGTCTATTATACCAAGGCTCGAAACCTCCGGCACCATGGACACGATAGCAGTGGCCCCCAAGGCGTCGGCGCTGGCGTCGCCCAAGATTGTTAAGAATGCAAAGGGCAACATTGTACCGAGCAGCCAGATGGCGCATATCGCGTATGGATGCGGTAAGCGCTCAGCCATCCAGAATGTCGGAGGAGGCTGCTAACACATGGCAGAGCACATGGGCGAGATGTTTGAGAAGGCGCGCAAGCAGACGCTCCAGCACTACCGAGCCATCCTCCAGAATATTCACGAGAAACCGAGTATAATAGCCCAGACGTACACTGCGCCTGCGGATGCGCGCAATGTAGTGTCGCTGAGGCCGCTGTACCTGTGCCTGCAGTGTCCGAGCATCATGACCGAGGTGGATCGCGATTTGCACTTCGAGACCAAGTCGCACTGTTTCTGTGGGTTCCGACGATGCCGTATACTTGCGAAGGCTAACAGGAAGCAGCTGTGGAGTCACGAGACGGCAACATATACTGTGGCAATTGCCAGGACTTCATCTACGACGAGACGTTGGACGTGCTGAGAGTACAGAAGGGTGTGTGGCGGCATGCTCATGCTTGAAGGGAATCAGATTGGCTGACTACAATACAGGCAAGAAGCGAAAGTACGAAGACAACACCACGACCGAAGACCACAAGCTCGTAATCAGCAACTCGACCTTCCTCCCCTGCCGCGCGATAGGCCTGCGTGGGCTCTATAATATGGGCCAGACATGCTTCATGAGCGTCATCCTACAAACCCTCGTCCACAACCCGTTCATACGAAACTTCTATCTTTCCGAAGGTCATAAGCAGACAGAGTGCGAGAGGGACTCATGTGTGAGCTGTGCGCTGGACGAGATGTTTGTCGAATTCCACTCAGCTGAGAAGACAGAGGGCTTTGGCGCCGTCAGCATGCTCATGGGCAGCTGGCTGGCGGGGGAAGCTCTCGCAGGATACCAGCAGCAGGATGCGCACGAGTACATGCAGTTCATACTCAACACGCTGCACCAGGCGAACGGCGGATCGACAGACGACTCGGAAGATTGCAAGTGCGTGGTACATCAGGCCTTCTGCGGGAAGCTCTCAAGTACGGTGACATGCGACAATTGCCGCAATGTGACCACGGCGCAAGACCCGTATATGGACCTTAGTTTGGACGTACGGATACAAGGCAAGAAGCGGAAGATCAAGGAGGAAAAGGGTGAAGAGACACCTCTGGATTTGAGGGACTGTCTCGAACGCTTCACGGTGAAGGAGAAGCTGGGCTCAGCAGAGTACACATGTCGAAATTGCGACAGTCCGCAGAATGCGACCAAGCAGCTGAGCATCAAGAGGTTACCACCGGTTCTCTCCATTCACCTCAAGGTAAGTACCAAGAGCCGTCCGCAGCGTCCCTATACTGACAATTACTCAGCGCTTCGAGCACACAAAATCCACGTCCTCCAAGATCGAAACCCCCGTTCGCTTCCCAGTCAAACTAGACATATATCCCTACACGACCGCCCACAAAGCCGCCATGCGCGCCGTGAAGACCTCCGGCGCACCGCTCTCGAACCACAACGTCAACAGCCCGGCAAACGCCCTCGTATACGAATTAAGCAGTGTCATCGTGCACAAGGGCAAAATCGACTCTGGACACTACGTCAGTTACAGCAGGGAGGGCAACGACTGGTTCATGTTCGACGATAGCAAGGTAGTGCTGGTCAGCGAGGCAGAGGTCCTTGCTGCAGAGGCCTATCTGCTATTCTACATGGTTGGTGGACTAGAGGTATAAGAGCCTCCTTGGAAGAAGGTGGAGTTCCGGCAGTTTGGTGTACAGTATCTCTGCTCGGGCATGTTACAGGCCCATGAGCTGCATGATTGGCGTTTAGAGGGCACTCCGGCGTTTGTGAGGGCAAGTTGAGACGCCCTCTTTATCTTAGGATTATCTGGCATACGGGCTTCAACATTGTCACTTTCTCAATACGTTACAAGTTTTCTTCCACAAACTTCCCCCATTCCTACTACAGAGTAAATCATCCTGACTTTCTTCGAACGCATTGGTGTTCATCATCCCCATTCCCAATCAGGCCGTCCGCCCGATTCATGCTATCACGACCTCTCCACTCGGGAAACTTTGCCGCGGCCAATACCGCCGCACACACACAAACGCGCCGTTTCAACGCACACTTCGTAGGGCAAAAAGCGATCTGAGCAGCACCTGTTTTCATCGCAAACAGGTACATCCGGTGGCTTTACACCGCTCATCACATCCTCTTGCAGCAGCACCCCCACTCATGCAATATATCTGCTTTCGTTCAATGATTCATACTCTCGTTGGCTACATATATTAAGGTATCGCTGCCTCGAAGGCTATCATATGACTTTATTCTCTTTTTTACTTTATGTACTAATTGAACGGCGACTTCGCCTTTGTCGAACTCGAAGAAATATTGCTCCTTGAGCTGGAATCCTCAAACATGGTTTCGATCTGGGTATTAACCGTTATCCCTTTCCCGCTCACAAACTGCTCGACGCCGCCTATTTGATCCGATGGCGGATCTGTGAAGAGCGAGTCTTCTGATCCGTTTGCTCGGTTCCGCGTATCGTGTGTGGAGTGCAGACCGCCGGAGATCTGATTCGAAGCCGTCAGGCGGTTTCCGCTTGCTTTTCGTCGCGCGGACGAGAGTTCGTAGTGGCGGCCGTAGCTGTTGGCGGAGTCTTTGGTGGTGTTGTTTGTGCCGAGGATCATGGAGCGGAGCGCGGGGAGGCAGGTGGCGATTATGGCGATGGCGGTTTCGATCATGGAGACGGTGCAGGTTAGCATCGTTTCGTTCCTGTGCGAGTAGTAGGCTCGAACGACTGGCAATATGTTAGTCTGATTCTAGTTCATCTCGAATCTGATGGGGACGTACTGCTGGCAATTACGACGAAGAAACCCAGAGCGAAGATTCCGGCTACACCGAGCTTTTGCTTCAGCTTCATCTGCAGCCTGGAAACCATGGTGATGGGCAGGCAGATGATGAACACGTCGGTTGCGATGTTGAAGCAAATGGTGATCCAGTAGTTGATCTCGGCGGCTTTGGGACTGCATTGATCTGCGCATGGTCAGTCTCCACCGTTCGCATGCATGTGGGTCAGGGTTTGCTTTTTGCTCACAGGCTGGGTTATTCGACCATCGCTTGTCGTGGGGGAAGCACTGAAAGATGATGTCGAAAAAGATGACGAGATAGGTGACAGCTAATCCGGCAAGCGTGAAGTTATACACAAGGACCAGTCGTGAACCTGGAGCAGCCAGGCTCTTGTAAAAGAAGACCAGGGCAAACTTGATCGCCCATAGTGAGGAAACGTAGAGTGTCGATCCGGGGATGATCATCTGCATTATGCCCTTGAAGTTTTCCGGGGTTATAGACGCCATGTCGCCCAGCCCAAGGTTCCACATGTGCTGTTGGATGATGAGGTCCCCGATCAGACATGTCAGAGAGAGTAGGATCAGATAGTCGTCAATTCCGAGGTTGCCCAGTCTCGACCATCGCGCATACATGCGTAGCGCGACAAAAGGCACCGTGGCTACGGTACAGATATACCATGACACCTGTCAACTGAATCAGCACTGCACAAGCATACGATGCATGCAGGAAGAGGAGGACTTACCACCTGCCCGAGCTCACTGTCGGCCATGTTGCTTTGCTTGTGTGGCCGTCACCGAGGAAAAGGCCGTGAGGAGTTCGAGCCTGCTCGCTCCACTCTAGTTGGAGATCCAAGAACAGTGTGTGGAGAGCGTGACGAGGGTGAGTAGAACGTCGATTGACAGCGGGGCTGCCGCAACAAGTACCATTTTTCTCTACTCCACGGGCAAACGACCCCCTAAGTAACTTTACAGGATGTTGCGGGTTGTGCAACTAGTATGCCGTCCCGTAGCGTTGTGGCATGATAGCATCAGGGGACCTCCCAAAGCCCAACCAACCGTAAGCTGGCAAGCATCTGAGAGGTCTCGGCCGCTAGAGTCGGTAGCCAAACTTGAGCTGCGAAACCCTTCTACGGCCGCTACTGAGTGGCAACGATTTCATGCGTTAGAGCAGGTTCAGCTACGCTGCTTGGAAGAATCTGACTCGAGACGACAAAACTACATGTATAGCATCGTGTCCGCCGAACGGGGCAGTGGGAAGTGAACGCCACTGCTCGCATGTGAAGAGACTACCGAGTAATGGATGGCAAAAAATCGTCGTTGGCCTCGGGGTCATGGGTGCGAGGGTGAGAAGGGTTGTGCTCAGATCCGTATCGAGGTTCCATGGTTCGGTCCGATGAGGATGCAAGCATCCTAGCTCGCATGGCGACGAACGACAGGGAGCGCCGGTCTGGAAGGCGAGAACTAGACACATGGCGCACGAGGCCGACAGGTTCTACCTTGGTACCGTCACCTTCTAGCGCTTTTGGTGTCTCAGCCGGGCTTCTAGCATGGATGCCGCACGGTAGCTGCGATTGGTTCGACTCGCTTAGCTTTCCAATTTTGCGGTCCCTGAATCTGATCGGACCTCGGATCCTGCGGAATCTGCAGAGACGGAGATGAAAATGCCCTATTTTCCCTCGCGGCTCCTTCAGGCTCCACGCCGGGCAATCTTCGGCAGTTGGACGTTACATGGTGTTGCTGTGCTGTTGGCGGCGAGAACTCGTTCGAGCTGGTGGCAGCCCGCCAAAGTGGTGCCCTATATAGCCATGTGTAAGCCCAAACACGATCTACAGCCTCCCGCCAAACTCTATCTCTTACCCAACATCGTGTTTCCCTGTCTGGCATCATGAAGGTTCCCTCGGCTCTGATTGGCTTGCAAAGCCTCTCGCTAGGCGTTTTCCTCGGACGGGTGGCTGCCACGCCGCTACCTCCGAAACCTTCAAGAGCAACCGTCGCGGATGGAACGGCGGCTCTCGATCAGGGAACTGTGAAGGGTTTCACTGATGACTATGGAAACTCTGTTTTCCTCGGCATTCCATTTGCGCAGACAACGGGGGGACAAAACCGGTATGTAATGGCGGTTCTGCGTCGCCACCGGTTTACTGATCATGCCGTAGATGGAAGGCTCCTAAGGACGTCAAGAAGCTGAAGAAGGGCGAGGTGCTCGATGCCACAAAGTACGGTGCAACATGTCCACAGGCCATTACCGGTACAACATACTCCCAGCAAGATGAAGATTGCTTGAACCTCAACATCTGGGCGCCATCTTCGAACAGTAAGCTGCCACGGGCGCCGCCGATGCCTCATAAACCGAATGGACCTCACCATTCACCAGGCCCTCCATCAGGCCCACCAGGTCCACCGGGTTCCCCACCAGGCTTGGATGCGCCCGGCGGTCTTCCAGTATTCGTCTACATGTACGTGATTTTTCTGTACGAACTGTATGTGAAGCAAATGCTGATTTTCGGCCAGGTACGGAGGTGCGATGGTTACGGGCTCAAGCAGCAATCCAGCCTACGTCGGAGAGAATTTCGCTCGCAAGGGAGTTGTCTTCGTCAGCTTCAACACTCGTGAGAGTCTTTGGGCATACCCCAACTCTGCCGAGCTTGTCGATGGAGAGGAGTCGCAGAACTTTGGCATCCTCGATGTCGACAAGGCTTTGCAATGGGTCTTCGACAACATTGCCCAGTTTGGCGGTGATCCCAACCGTGTCGTGTTCGGAGGTCATTCATCTGGCTCTGTTCAGGTTGACCACTACCTCTGGAACCACCCCAACACACCACTCGTCGGGGCCGTTCAGATGGCTGCCAACGCAAAGTCTGGTCCTGCCGTCGGCCCTACCAACCAAGCGCTCGACCTCGTTGCCGAAGAGGTTGGCTGCGCAACTGGTGCAGGACAGCTCGAGTGCCTGCGCAAGGTAGACATGTACGCCTTCCAAACCGAGGCCTTCAATGCCACCTTGAACACGTACTTCACGCCTGTCGTAGACGAGAAGACACGCTACCAAGACTATGCTGCGCGGTTCGCTGCTGGCAACTACGCTTCCCATGTACCCCTCCTGACGGGTAACTCCGACAAAGAGGGTGCCCTCTTCGGTCTGGTGTATGGTAGCGAGAACACAGACTTTTCGGCGTGGCTCAAGACCTTCGATGCTGACGTCGCCGAGATTCCAAACAACATCATCGAGGCCGCGTACGACATCGCCGACTATTCCAGTGTCTCGGAAATGAGCGGCGCTCAGTACGGTGATGCGCGTTTCTTCTGCCCTGTTGATCACTTCATCGACTTGCGCAGCGAGACCCAAGATACTTGGTCATACCGCTTCCTCGGCAACTACTCCAACCTTTTGCCTCTGCCCGTCGACTACCCAACGCACGGCGCAGAGATTCCCTTCTTCTTCGGAGGCAACGGTGCCTTTGCTGGTGTTGAGGGAGTGACTGCCGAAGAGCAGGCGCTTGCCGACTTCCAGAACGACTGGTTCGTCGAGTTCATCAAGAACCCCGCCGCTGGTCCTGGATGGGAAAAGGCCACTCCTCGCAGCGGCCCGATTGCGAAGCTTGGTGTGCCTGGAAACGAGCTTACCGTTGAAATTGGCAACACTGCCGATTACAATGGCAGATGTCAAAAGGTATACAACCCATATCTGCCAAAGTATCCTGTCATTCAGAGCGTACTCTCTGGTGTCATGGACATGGTAGAGGGCATTATCGGGAACTAGAATAACGAACAAATAATCAATCGGAAGGCCATCATGATACCTTGGTAGCTTCCGTAGTTAATCCTAATGTAAACACATTAACAGCGATCGTCCCACTTCAGGAAGTTCTCTCCACTATGGTGATGGACCAATCGCATTTCCAGAGGTCGCGCCTTGGGTCGAAAAGAAAACACGTGATCCCGAGGATTGATCCTGAAACTGAGCTCAGAATCTGTAGGGTTCTCTGGCGACGAAACTGGTGTTGTCGCTGATGCGGAAAGAGTCATGCGAAGGGTTGGCAACCTTGGAGTCGGGTCGTGCTGATGAGATCGTGGAATGCATCAGCAAAGTAGCGGACATGGTCGACTTGTGGTCGGCGACGTTGCTCTCGGCGACACTGCGGTGCGGTGATTGCGCAGGACACGCCTCTGGGGAAATCCGCGTCCTTGCAGGACATGCCATCTCGATAAAATCGCATCTCGAAGTTTGAGATGTCGAATTGCGGCTGCTGGGGAGGGCTTTCTAGACCCCGATACATCGGAAAGCACCCGTCTTGGCGAGACCCAGCAGGCCCCTCTCCCTGCTCCGCTAAAGGAAGGAGGATACGACAGAAGGATTGCAGGCGAGGCTCGCAACACGGCTTTGCAGCTCGAAGTGTTTAGCAAAGTAAAATTCGCATGTGGGACTGCTCAACACAAAGTGCGAGGCTGAGTCTGGGTTGCTGGTGGTCGCCTAGGTACCAATTCGTCGCGTGGCAGGTGCGACGACACGCCTCGTGGAACTTGAGCAACGTCTTGTCTTTCCCCACGATAGACCCTGGAAACCTCTCGTCTTCCTCTCACAAGTCCACGCCGTCGCACGCGTTTCCACCAAGCTCAAGCCCCAATGTTCCATACTAGGCGGACCCGAGTTTCGCAATTAGCCAGACTGGGGCTGATTGGACCAAGGCTGACGTTTTCTCGCTCGCCCCATCCCGGCTTGGCCCCCAAGCGGGTCTCATCCACAGCGCCCCTTTTCTCAGGGCTCTTGAGATGCAATTGACACGACATGAACGGAAGCAATGTATGGTCATCAAGAGTCAAATAGAGCGGTATCTGAGAACTGTGTGGCGTACGTCAAAGTCAACTGCTGTCGGCTTCCCACAAGAAATTTACCATGGAGTTTACAGGGGATGAGACGATCTACATAAGGCCTCCCCTTGGCACACGGGGGCCTAAAGCTGTCACGCACCCGTCTACAAGGGCGGTATGCCTCATGGCGCGCGATGCATGTACTGCAAGGCTGCGCCTCTCCATCCCCCCGCTGTGACTAGATGCGCATGTCGAAATTGATGCATCGGTGAGCCCATGTGGCTGAATTACATACAAGCGTTCCAACCGCTGCTCGGGTCTGGACCTGGGCCTGTTGTCGCATGCCAATATTGACATGAAAAGGATCCTTTTGTCTCTGAAAGACTTTTAACGTTGATCTTGTCAGGCCATGACCGCAGACTAACCTTACTGTCCCTGCCTGTCGGTACTCCACAGCCTTCTACCTTTTACTCAGGTCCACCAGGCCCGTTTAAGCTGGCCCACACCCCCGTTATCACACGTCTTGCCCGCAGCATACGACTCTTTATAGACTCGCTTCCACCCATGGCCTGCACGTCGATCAGGCGTCCGAGCAAGGTTTTGGTGCAAATCACGATCGAACTCGGTCTCCCTCTGCACTTCCTTCACACCACACCCGGTTTCGAATCAACGCCACTATGACCGCGCGTGGCCGTCTCGAACGCATCGATGAAGACCAGGAGTCTCCCTTCCAACGCCGGACCGTATGCGACCGACTCCAGGACTATCGCCAGCTTGGCTGGCTGGCATGCGCTACGACCTCGCTGCTCACCACACGGCATCTGTTGATTGAAAGAAATCTGCACTATCCCTTGCAACTGTACATTACCCAGATCGCGGCTACGGCCCTAGTCGCTTTCCTTTTCCATCCATGGAGACCGAGCGCTCAACATGCCAGCGAGCAAGACCAACGTAGGAAGCGACCAGTTCAAGGTGGACTGTTATTGGCCGCTTCGAATCTCCTGCAAGCGGTATCTGCATTCTGCATAGTGCAAGCAGTCCTGCATACTTCGAATCTACCGCTGCTATGTATGATCACGGTATGTTCTCTAGAGCAAGCTTGACATGCGCTCCGCTGACCATTGCAGACCATAGCCTTCTTCGCTGAAGGTGTAGTTCTCTATGTGTTCAACTACACACCTCGCTCAAACGCAGAAACCCTGTCTTTGAGCTTGCTTGCCATAGCTTGTGCTGGTGTCCTGTTCATGGAATACCGACTAATGGTACCAAGCTTGATCGCATCGATCTTGGCAATGCTCCTCCTTGGTGCAGCAAGTGCATTGAAGAAGCTTGCTGCTAGACACTATCCGGGAGAATATGCTACCCGAAGCATGAACGCAATGTTGCTCGTTGTTATGGGCGGTCTGCTTGCATTGTTCTGTCTTGTCAGCAACTTCCCGGGCGAGCACTGGGACTCATTCGACACAAGCAGCCTGCCTCTCCGCGGTCTGAATGCCTTCTCAACAGCAGCGGCATTGCTGAGTGGGGGCTCGATACTCTTCCCAATGGATATGCAGTCAGGAGGCCAACTACCCGGAAGCAGCTTTGCCGCAACACAAAGCGTCCGCAGCGCCACGACAATTCTAGCCATGGCAGCTATCACCGGCTCTTTCACCGTTCTGTCAACGCGCCGATCCTACACCAGCTTTTACCAACTATCATGCTTTTTCCTCGCCATCATGTGTGCCTGCGGAAAAGACATCTACGACACGGTTTGGAAACAGTCCAGTCGTCACGATGGCTCCGGCGGAAGTTACGATCTCGTCTCACGCTCCCCGAATGCACCGATCGATGACGAAGAGGATTTTGGTACCAAAGCACAACGAGCATCACGGCCACGATCGCAGGGCAGCAGTGCTCGCTCTTCTTTGGTCAGCTTGGTCTTGATCGTGCTGTGGACAGCATTCGTGAGCTTGAACTTTGGACAGCGACAATACCCTCGGGAAGAGCCGCACCTGGATCTACAATACGAACCCATTGGGCCCTTGGAAGTTGTGATCAGCATGTATAAAGAGCGCACTGAGGATGTTGCTGCGCTCATCAAGAAGTTGGAGAGCATGCCACAAATGACAGAGGCTCTTGTCACGATTTACTTGAAGGATGGCGAAGCAGACGAAAGAAAGGTCAAAGCGGAAACGAACGCGCACGAAGTCATCAAGCTACCAAACATAGGACGCGAAGCCGAAACTTACCTGAACCACATCGTCAACCGCTGGGACAGCCTCGCGGAACGAACGATTTTCCTTCAAGCCGACGTTCACAACCCACGAGAATTCTACCCATTCTTCGAACGATATTTCCGGGCGAACCAAACAGGCTTCCTTAACCTGGGCTGGGCGGGGATATTATGCAATGGCGACGACTGTGGGGACAAGCGCGGCTGGCGTGATGAGACATCGCTGTTCGCGGACGTACAATCCCGAATCGACAGATCCACTCGTGAGAACGTGCTGCTCAGCTACAAAGGCCAGTTCGTTGTCACTGCTGCGCGCATTCGCGGTATCGACAAATCCATCTACGACGACTTGTGGCAGCTCTTTGTCGACGAGCACAGCTGGGCACACCAAGAGCCCTACCTTCAAGAACGACCCGATTCGATGAGCCAACCCTGGTTCGGATACACAATGGAGAGGATATGGAATGTACTGTTTCAGTGCTCAGACATGGATGTTGCATGGCGATGCCCGACTCTGTTGAGCGGGTGGAGACCTGGTGGTAGCATTGCCGACTGCCAGTGCTTTGATTCAGAATCGGCTGAGTAGGTGGAGAAGCATGCGTAGCGTCTGAGCATTTTTTGTTTGTTTGTTGTGATACCCCTAGACGTCGAAAGGCGCAACGCGATGACGCGAATTTCGGTCGCTTGTTGTTAAATATAGATGACGCGCAATAAGGCGGAATAATAATAGTTTCCTCAGATTCAGTGCGCACAACCTGGGAACGATCATGGTTCCCGTCAGAATGCCATACACGCGAGCATGCTTTTTCCTGCCGAGCGGAACAGCATGGCCGTGGAGCCCGCGGACGACCATGCCACGCAAAAAATGTCATCCCAAAGCGTTTGAGGTCTTCATGCATCCAAGGGCTGCGAATGCAGGAGGTTCGAAGCGCCAAGCTGAAACACTCTGTGCCGGCCAGATCTCGCGTTCCCGTTTGACACGTGATACAGACACCCCACTTTCAATGCTCGCACGGGTGCCGCAATCGATCCTTGCGCACAGGCGAGCCACCACTCACACATGACTCGGCCGCATTGCACAGCCATGGCGTCGCAGATACTCTCCTTTCTCTCGAAACGTTCCATAAGATCACTCGCGGCGACGTTTTGTACCTAGCCGACCAACCTCCCATGCTCACACAGGGACATTGCCCGTCTTCGAGCTCTGGAAAGCCTGCGGCGAACCCCGTATATCGAACCCTCTAATACTCCGGGATACCAACCTGCAACTACTATCACATCTTCGGGAACTAAACGACAGCGTTCCTTCCACTTGGAACTAACGAACCCTGCATACGCCATGGCGACCATACAGCAGCGATCGAGCAATAAGCTCTCAGTCTCTTCGAACAGAAGCTCTGATGGTCTCTACAAGCATCGTCAAAGCATGCTCTTCCGGGAACTGGAAATTCTGCTCGAACTCACACCGAGCACTTTCAGCTCACCACTTCTGGCCCTTCCAAGAGAGATCCGCGACCAAATATTTAACTATGTGTTACCTGATCCCACAAGGATTCGTCCGGAACTTCACACTTGCCTCTGGGGTGCTGAGATGTCCAACGGAGAACCCTGGAGACACGACATCTTTGGATATGGATCCTCCGTAGCCAAAGCATCACGACTACGGCCTGAGCTTCTCTTGATCAACAAACAAATCCGGGACGAGCTGCTGCACAACTACTTTCGCCGCAGCAAGATCACTCTACATGCTGAACTACGGAATACGCGGACGAACAACGACTATTTCGAGTTCTCGCAGCACATCCTGCAACTGCCCATGTTGAAGCATGTAACACATATACGCTTCTACGTTGAATGGAACTACACGACGCTGAAAAACGGAGGGAGGGATCGGATGATGAAAGACCAGACACGCATGACGAAGAATCTCCTTGCTTCCATGGACAAGATCGCCCTGTCACTCCAGTGCATCGAGACGATCGAGCTATCAGTACTCTTCTTCTGGAAATTTCGGAGCGGGAAAATGTACAGTCTTTCCATGCAGGACCTCTTTGACCTCGAGGACGTGTTCAAGCGCTGCGCAGAGCTGCCCTGGCTTGGTTTACTCGGCGAAAATGACGTGCCTGGAAAGAAGAAGACGACTACTTCTACCTACCTCAGCCCGACTTCGGCAACGACGAACTCTTCGGCGGGTGTGGGCTACAAGATGTCGACGGAGAAGAAGGGTACAGAACAGAGTGGAGGCATGGAAATTTGCATCAGCCGTGATCTGGAAGATGCGATGGAGGAGAGGAGAAAGAGTAGTGTTGACTTTTTCGGCAACTACGAAGTCACGGAGCCTTTGCCTCAGCCTTGTTATCGGCATGGTGCCATGATATGAGGTGAAGGCCTCATAGGAGTATTTTGTTTCATGAAAGGAAGATTGTTGGCCTTCGGTCGAAGAATACCAGACTTTGCCAAACGACGGCACTTCTGGCACACGAGTCCTGGTCTTACAGCACCTGCTTCGCATGCAGTACCACGATCTGATTATCAACGCTACCACAACGCGAAAAACAACGTCACCTACAATACCAGATTTGGTGCAATAACCGTTGGTATGCGCAGCGCTTGTACGACGTTCTCAGCACACAAGCTGGTCGGGATGGTTTAGTTTTCACGAATGCGAGAGCATGATGGGCTTGGTTCCACAAGCTCTCCACCGTATGGTGAGCAGTGAGTAGGGACTGAGGTCACGAATCCGCCAGTAAGGGCAGTAGCACGACCTTGGCCATGCTAGACCCACCAGAGGGGTATCACATCCCGAGTTGTGGCGCGCAATCTACACTAGGCCATGGGGCTCGGCCGAGGCCACTCAATTTGTTGCTAAGCAAACGCGGGGAAGATGGGGAGGGACGGAATTTGGCAAAGATATCGATTTGAGACTGCTGAATTTGAGCTGGAGTAATAATCGCATGATTGTTGTGACAACACCGTGTTCTGATGCCTCTGTTGTTCTTCTCAGTGATACCCTCGAAGAAGCAAGGTGCAAAGTTGTGAGTGGAGATGACGCACTATCTCGGTTAGGCCTCACGGTAGTCTTCCGCGTCTCGATGCCCCATTACTGTGCTCATGAACGACACTGTCCACAGTCATACTGCAGTGGAGTAAGCGGTCAATATTCAGGAGAGTCATGTTTTCCTTGGTATGACATAGAGTTTATTCGAAGCGCTGCACCTGTGTTGGACCCTTGCTGCGTTGCACCCAACGGAATTAACGCTCAAAGATCTTCACCGAGCAAGCCACAGAACATGCGGCAAGCAGGTAGCCGCAACCGATGACACCTCTCACTACGGCTAGCTGCATTTCACGCGTTCTTACTTAACGTTGGCCTCCGTAGCTGCCATCCATGGCGCTGTTGTATTCTATCCTTCCCCGGATTCAAGCCATTCGAGGCAGCCCGTTATCCCCAGACACCCATGTGGACGAGATCTCCACATGCCAACATTATTAGCTTGACAGCGTTCGCTTCGCTGTTTCCGACAGATACGTTATAATTGCTTTGTGCAACAGAGTGACGCACGACTCAGCGGTGACGCATAACATATAGCGAATTCGTTACCCTCTGAACTCATACAATCTCTACGAGCCACCAACATGACGCAGCCAGAACCACCAGGATTGTATCGCCATCCGACAAGAAGCGAAATCATCGACCTCGCCGCAGCAGAAGGCCATGATGCCGATATCCCAAGCAACCTCGGCTCTATACACCAAGTGCCTAGTCATACATCGGAAAGACGGCACTCATTAGACGAGAAGAAGGGTGAATATACAACTGGCGAAAGAGATGTTGAAAAGGGAAACGACACAGGCTCAATCTCCACTGCAGAGCAGCCCGATGCAGAAGAGGAACCCGAACGCGATGCGAATGTTGTCGACTTTGACGGTCCTAACGACCCAGAGAACCCAATGAACTGGAAAGCTTCAAAGAAATGGGGCATGGTCGCACTCATATCGGCGATTACGTTCCTAACGCCTCTTGCGAGTTCGCAATTCGCACCCGGTGTGCCGGAGGTTATGCGCGACTTCAACTCGACGAGTGATCTGCTTGAAGGCTTCATGGTCAGCGTGTACGTTCTTGGCTTCGCTTTTGGGCCATTGATTATCGCACCGCTTTCGGAGATGTATGGTCGATTGCCGTTGTACCATAGCTGCAATTTTCTGTTCATTGTCTTCACAATTGCAGCGGCTGTGGCGAACAACATGGCGCAGTTTGTTGTGTTCCGATTTCTCATGGGCTGCTTTGGAGGAGCGCCCATGGTACTTGGTGGAGGAACTATCGCGGATTTGATCCCAAGAGAGCAGCGTGGTACTGCCATGGCCGTCTGGATGATGGGTTAGTAATATCCATGTACGAACCGTATGTGAGACAGACACTGACTTCGTACACTCATCTTTAGGTCCAACGGTAGGGCCTTGTGTCGGTCCAATCATCGGTGGCTTTTTGACTGTAGCGAAAGGCTGGCGATGGAACTTTTGGTTCGTCGCTATAGTTGGTGGAGCATTCTTTATCATGTCACTTATCCTGATGAGCGAGACATCTGGCATCATCATTCTACAACGGAAGGTCAACCGTCTCAAGGCCGAGACGGGGAACACGAAACTACGATCTAAGCTAGACAGTGGCCTCACTCCACGCCAGCTCTTCAAATTTTCGATCATCCGACCAGCCAAGATGTTGTTCCGCTCAACCATCTGCTTCGCCATCTCGCTCTACATTGCGATCACATACGCCTATCTCTACATTCTGTTCACCACATTCACTGCGGTGTTCAAGGGCCAATATGGCTGGCATGGCGGCATAACTGGTCTCTCATTTCTGGGACTCGGCATTGGCTCCCTCATCGGACAATTCACCTACATCCACTATGGCAACAAAGTGGTACACAAGCACATGGCGCGCGGCGACTTCCGCCCTGAACACCGGCTGAAAATGATGTGCATCGGCGGCTTCTTCATCCCTTGCGGTCTCTTTATCTACGGCTGGAGCGTGCAATACCAGACGCACTTCATGGTGCCTATCGTAGCAACAGGCATCATCGGGTTTGGTCTGCTGATGACGTTTATGCCTGCGACTACGTACTTGGTCGACGTGTTTACTGTCCATGCGGCCAGTGCCATGGCGGCGAGTACAGTGTTGCGCAGTGTTGCAGCAGCCTTTATCCCACTGAGTAGTCAGACGATGTATGCGCAAATGGGCTACGGTTGGGGTAACACTATGCTGGGGTTCATCGCTACGTTACTGATCCCGATACCGTTCTTGTTCATCAGGTACGGAGAGAAGATCCGAGCTAGAAGTACTGTTAAACTATAAACACATGCGATGGACTACCCAGGTATGGACTTAGATAGACTCATATACAATAGCAAACCAAATTCTATGCCTTGGTCTTGACAAAGGGCTGCGATTCGGTCATGATCCACGACTCCCGCTACCTGACTCGTATAGGCTATATGCAGCCTCGGTGTGTACTCCGAAGCCCCACCCAAGGTCTTGCTGAGCAACATTGGAAATACGACGACAATAGAACCCTGGCCGCGTCTTGCCATAAGTAGAAACCCGGAAGTAGACATTGGTTCCGCAAGTGTTCTATCAATCGCTCTGATTGAAACTTAGTTTCTTACATCAACACGCGACCTCTCCGCCGCTCACGGAAAGTAAGAGCTACTTCACCATGGCATCCTCACTACCAGAGTCCAACTCATCTCTCACATATACGCAACCTTCATCTCAACCACATCTCACACATACACCCATACCAAAGCCAGGTCCCCAAGAAGTTCTGGTGAAGATCAAAGCCGCAGCTATCAACCCCGTCGACATCCAACTATGGGGAAACCCCGTCATCGGCTGGCTAGCAGGCAAGAAAGAGAAAGGAATAGGACGCGACTACTCTGGCGAAATTGTAGCCCTGGGCGAAGAAGCAAGCAAGACTGGGAAATGGGAGGTTGGTGACCAAGTCTTTGGATTGTGTAATCGACCTGTAAGTCAAGCTTCCGCATGGCACGGCTTTCGGTTCGAGAAGAAATATACGTTGGAACTAACGTGAATTAGATGGCAGAAGGAACATTCACACAATATCTCTCCATCAACCCAACCTCAGAGCCAATCGCAAAGAAACCCACTACCCTTTCCCACCACGAAGCCGCCGCCATCCCTCTCGTCGTCCTAACAGCCTTCGCCTGCCTCGACTGGCTCCCCTCCCCATCCAGCTCCCCCTCTCCCTCCCAACGCCGCGTCATCGTCTCAGGCGCAAGCGGCGGCGTAGGAATGTGGTGCGTCCAACTAGCCAAAAAGCTGTATTCCTGCCACGTAACCGGCATCTGTTCCGGCTCCAACGTCGATTTCGTGCAATCCCTAGGCGCAGACGAAGTCATCGATTACCGCACACAAGACGTGCCCAACTCGCTTCTTTCCAAACGGCCCGGCGGCACGAAATACGACTTGTACATTGATTGTGTGGGCGGCACGGAGATGTTTGCGCATTGGAATGAGCTTCTTCATGCGTCGGGCGCGTATATTACTATTGTGGGGGATAAGACTTCGAGGACGGCGATGGGTGGGCCGTTGACGTATTTTACGTATCCGTCGCAGGTGATGAGGCATGTTTGGGGGTACTTCTTTGGGCCGCGGTATGCGAACGTTATTTTGTATCAGAAGAATGAGTTGCTGGAGCAGGTTAGGGAGTTGGCAGAGAAGGGCGAGGTAAAGGTTGTGGTGCAGGATGTCGTTAGGGGAATCTTGACGGAAGAAGGGTGCAAGGAGGGTTGGGAGAAGGTCAAGGGGTACATGGTTGAAGGGAGGGTTAGGGGGAAGATTGTTGTTGATGTTGCGTAGGTTCGATGCTACAATCGAATATGACTAGTGAACCACACTATGGAACGAAGTGGAACGATCAATTAAAGCAAATTACCATCTATGTACTATTGGGTGTATCACGCCGGGTATCAAGGGGGGTAATGAGACGCTCGAGCACGTATGCCCAGACGTTATAACGAGGGAAAGAACTGTAAAGGAAAAATGTTGACAGATCCATCAGGAGATCCTCACAGAAAGGCGACGCAGATATAAACCTTGCTCCTTGCCAGAAAACTCCAGCCCGCAGCTAGCCCCTACCCAGCTGTTTTTCGTGAATGCATACTCCAGTCGTCCGAGTCGTTACCGTAGAGCTCACATAACCCAGGTCGTTCAATCGTTGCCGTGAGACGATCAGTTGTACTTCAGGAAAGTCGTGGGCTCCTGCGATGTGGCAGCTGCAGCAGGTATCCTGGCGTCACCGACAGTTGTCTTGGGATATTCACCCGGGACATGCAGGTCGCTAACGCTGATGTCGGTGT